CTGTTGCAGGATACTGGTGTATTTAACAATCAAAAAGGGTTTCTTGAACTCATCAACCTTAGCCAAAAACCTGGAAAACAGATAGCCAAAATGTAAATTGCCAGCATGAAACAACGTAACATTCCTGTGCATGACTGCAGAGGTCAAGGATTTGATAATGGATCTCATATGTCAGGAAAATTAAAAGGCTTTCAAGCCTGCACTATGTCAAAAAATCATCTTGCTGTGTCATCTTCTTGCTCTTCCCATTCATTTCATCTCATAGGAGTTAATGCTCCTGATGCTTTTACTGAAACCTAACAGCTGTGTCTAGACTGGCAAGTTTTTCCACAAAAGCAGCTGCTTTTGCGGAAAAACTTGCCAGCTGTCTACACTGGCTGCTTGAATTTCCTCAAGAACACTGACCATCTCATGTAAGAAATCAGTGCTTCTTGCGGAAATACTATGCTGCTCCCGTTCGGGCAAAAGTCCTTTTGCGCAAAAGCCAGTAGCCCGGTTTTTTTTTTGTGTGCAAAAAAGCCCTGATCGCAAAAATGGCGATTGGGGCTTTTTTGCACAAAAGCACGTCTAGGTTGACACGGACGCTTTTCCACAAAAAGTGCTTTTGCGGAAAAGCGTCCGTGCCAATCTAGGCGCTCTTTTCCACAAATGCTTTTAATGGAAAACTTTTCCGTTAAAAGCATTTGCAGAAAATCATGCCAGTCTAGACGTAGCCAACATGTTTTGCTGCGTGCAGGTATTTTTCATGTTTTTCAGTGCCAGCCCTGTTTGCTAAAAGACACATAGGTCACTCCATTCCCACTCAGACGCAGGGAGTACATGTGCTGACACTACGCACCCAATGGCAAAGCTTCTCCCAAGTATTTTGGAGACATTGGAATGTGCTCAATTAAATTTGACACACAAAGTCAATTAGAAATGGAAGGGCTGAAATAGACTTTCAGCTCATTTTCATGTCTTTTGTTACTAACTTCTGGTATAAAGTTCTTTGAAGTATTGAGGAGATAAACAAGATTCTACAAGCCTGAGGAATCCCTCTTGATTCAGGGAGCTCTCATCACAGTTATTAATAAAGAATTAAAACAACTTTGAGATCAGTGGCACACCACTTTACTGGAAACATGCCCTGTGGCAAAAGCTATGGGAATTTTGCCACAATTACTGTTGAAGAGAGGCAGGAAATAGAAAAGGTGACATGAGACACCAGAGTAACCAATATGGCAGAGCTCTTGGTGTGTCAGGAAATAGAAAAGGTGACATGAGACACCAGAGTAACCAATATAGCAGAGCTCTTGGTGTGCCCCCTGGGTCCTGCACTTCCTGGTGGGTTTCCGTATGCCTCCGAGGCTCACGGTGACACTACCACTGCCTCTTGTTTTTCTCAGAGAAGAAAATACCCCCCTTCGGGGGCCATTTTCATCAGTCTCTAATTTGGAGGGGAAAACTCTTCCATGATCTGAAGATCCTTTTCCCCTGTAGGCAGGCCACAGGTCAGGGAGAGGGTTGAGGGGAACCCAGTCCCACCCACTTACTCTGGTTTCCAGCCCAGGGCCCTATGTGGGAGCCACTAATGGATCTCTTGCCCTTATCCCCACTAAATAGCAACCCCTCCCTGGGCCACTTCCCCAACACTTCCTCCCAGGCATCTTGGAGAAAAATCTGTTCTGCTTGCAGACTGTAGCTTTTGCCTCCACTGGGTTTCCTCTTCTTGAGTCCATCCCTCTTCTCCTTCCCCTGCCTTGCCTGAGGGGAAGCCTTTTATAGTGGGCCAGCAGGCCTTTACTGGAAGCAGGTGTTCCATTAGTCTAAGCTGCAGGCTGGCTCCTAATGAGTTTCAGCTTCCTGCCTGACCTGATGGCTGAGCAGCAGTCTCTGGCAGCCTATTCAAGGCACATAAATCCACCCACCCAACTAGTCATGTACCTGCCCTCCACCAAACTCCTGTAGCCCACTGCCTTCTATCTGCTCCACCATGTTCTATCACCTCTGAAGATGCAACAGTCTCTGTTCAGAAGGAATGTGTTCTATGCAACTCTGGACAATACCATGTGTGAGTTGAAGCACTAATTTAAAGCAACTAGACTATTCGTTGTTTTTTTAAGTTTTTCCAGTTACAGAGTAACTCAGCTACCCCTCTGAAGCTTTCAAAGCAACCAGTGACATTTGTTTTACATTCTGTATGGTCCTAAAATGTGTCACACGGTACCCTGAGGAGCTAGAAGTTCCAAATGTCTAGTTCACCAGTGTCCTATTGATCTTTTGGAGAACTTTCCATGTGAAATCTTGCATCTGAAAAAATCTTGGTGTCTACTTTTTTGGGGGAAAAAAAAACTTGAACTGCTACCATTATCTTGTGAGATTCATCATCACAACAAATAACTAAAGCTAATTTTCAGTGAAGTGTACATAGCCCTATGAATTTGTTTTATTATTTTTGCACGTTGCCAGTGACTCTGGCTGAAGCTGAAAAAAGTTTCAGTGAGCTGGCACTAATAAAAAATTGAAAGGGATCTACTATCACTCAAGAACTTATCTTATTGTTTTGTCTGTTGAGCGTGAACTCACAAGAAATATTTATTTTAGTGAGGTCATGAATGATTTTGCAATGAAAAAGTACAGAAAAATATAGTTGAAAAGTGATAAGGCCTATCTATACATAAAGAAAAAATATATGATTAATTAGTGTGACTCTGTGGGATGAGATGGGGGCCATGTTATGAATTTGCCCTGAGCCCAAAAAAGTGTTCATTTGGGCCTGAGCTAACGCACACAGAGCTGATGAAATCTTTGTGTAATTTAGCTGCTAAAATCTAAGAATTCTTTACTGAGCATATGCAACCTGTAATGTTGCAAAGGCTTATAACTTAGTCGCATTTGGGCAGATTTACACGGGGATGGCTAAAAACAAACTCCTGACACCAATACCATCCTGTGCCAAATTTTCAACTCCCTGCCTCAAAGCATAAAGTGCTAAAAAGGTTGTCAGAATTTTTTTTTCACACAGACAAACCATGTATTTTCTCCTGGTCTCACTCTTAGAAATGGCTGAACTATTTAGGCTGAAATATTCCTGAATAATTCAGTTTGAGGCAGACACTCACCATGGAAAATTTCTGTCCAAAGTCTGGCAAAGTTAATGAGGCAGACACTCAGCATGGAAAATTTCGGTCCAAAGTCTGGCAAAGTTAAAAGTAACTGAAATCCATGTCTTATAATGGGAGATGTTGAGCACTTTCCAGCTCTGCCTGTTATACACCAAAGTATGAAATGAGACACAGAATAATAGTCTATTCTTCCTTTTTGCTAAAGAAAAGCTTAAAGGCATACAAGAGTGTTATCTGGAGGAGTTATGTTTTTTGTGTGGTGATCTCTGAAGATGAAAAGTACTCTGAGGGCTAAGTATTGTTACTTTCAACTATTACACACACAGGAAAAATGAACAAAACTCCTGGGCACAGCAACTACCTTACAGATTCTATTATGATTCATGGGACCATGATGTATTTGGTAGATAGATACTATGGAGATGAGAATAGTGTGAAGGCTTGATGCAGACAGAACAAAGAACAGTCAAGACAAAGATGTTGCCACTTTGACCCCTATGAATAGCTAGTGGTGGTAAATTCCATGAGGAGCTCACCCTCCTCAAGCATTACTTACCTTGGAATCTATTTCACTGAGGCAAGAATCTCTATTTCATATTAAAATTGTAGATGCTTTATTTAATAGATTTTTCATAGGCAGTAGTTATCAGAACATGAATGGAAAGGATCCTTAACATGCTCCTATTACACAGACCCCTTATGTAAGAGGAAGGTGATGAGCCACAGTATTTCTTTACATTTTACTGCAGAAGATTGCTAACCAGAGTTGTTCCATCACTGAAAATATAATGGGGACATTCACTATTAAGCGGTTAAGTTAGTGGAGACTGAAATAAGCTTAAAGTGATGTTTTGTACCAAATTGCATATTTAACCTCTGAGGCACGTGCTGGCTTTGTTAAGGATACCTCTTTCCCCTGTATCTGCTCCTTTGTCTGTAAGAGGAACAAGTATCCTTTAAATTAATCCCTTCGTGCCACTCTCTGAAGGATTTGGCATGCTGGCTTTTTCCCTCCAGCCTTTCAAATTCTTCTTGATTTCACACAAGTTGACTAATCTCTGTGTAAATGTTTAGAAATCCTGTCACACGATCACAGCTTAGACGCTGTTCTATGGTGTGAAGCAGCATCAGTGTTGGTGAGCTAATCATTTCACCAAAAAGTGTTTTAAGAAAATTAAAGACTATGCAAAGCTCTGTCACAGGAACACTGCTAGCATTTGCAGTAACACCCTTAATGCCAGCTTCACCTCTCTTCAGCAGGTAATGAGTCTGCTCTACCTACTAGGATGAAAGTTCCAGTTTCAGCAGGTAATGAGTCTGCTCTACCTACTAGGGTTAAAGTTCCAGTTCACAGACACTAAGGCTGTGTCTACACTGCACCCCTTTTCAGAAAAGGGATGCAGATGAGACAAGTTGGAATTGCAAATGAAGCGGGGGATTTAAATATCCACCGCTTCATTTGTATAAACATGGTCCGGCTCGGGGCTTTGCCGGAGAAAAGCGCCAGTCTAGACAGGATCTTTCGGAAAATAAAGCCTTTTCCGAAAGATCCCTTATTCCTGATTTTAAGAGGGGTTTCTTTCAAAATAACCACGTCTACACGACATTTATAATCTCAAAATAGGGTATTTCGAAATAGTGGCCGGACACGATTATGCAAATGCAGCATGGGAAATTCAAATCCGCACTTCATTTGCAATTTCACTTGGCTACATTTGCATTCCTCCCTTGAAAGAGGAATGCAGTGCAGACATACCCAAAGAGAGTTATGCCTCAAATATCCGAGTTGTGTAACAGTCAAGAAAGAGATAGCAGCACAACTCTTCCAAAAATATTTATTTTTATGTATTCTAGGACATAACAGGAATGATCTCTATTACTTTGTCATATACTTACAATAAATAGCTCTTCAGAATGGTTCAACACCTCCTCTTTTCTTCAGCTGTTAATCATTCTCACCAGTCATTTATTGCTTCATATGCTCTAAAGTGACAGAGAGTGGTGTTAGTTGATAAAAATATTATTTATATTCAGAATAAGAAAGTGTGGGTAAAATAAGCCTGATCTCCATGAAGTTGCATCATAGATTAAGCTGGCTCATCACATATCGATAATACAACAATAATAATTAACTAACATGTTTTATCTATGTCTCCCAGGACTTTACAAAGAAGGGAATCACCTTCCATGCTTTACTGATGGGAAAATAGAGACACAGAGAGGTGAAATGACTTGCCCAAGATAACAGTTCAGTTATCAAATATGGAGCAGGAAAATCTAATACATATAAAAATAAATCTTTGACTAAAAGACACATAAATCTTGATGTTTATAGAACTGCAGGTAAAATTCACATGGTAGCATGGAGCTGTATCTCGTATGGAACTATTAAATGCTTTCAAAACATCTGTACAATTAACTGTCTCTATATAGTTGACAAGAAACCAGTTTTGTCAGACTCTCTTACTAGAAGAAAATGGCATCATGTATTGAGGTTGCGATTTCTGATGGTCAGAATGATTTGGTGTAAGATGATCATTAGGAGTTGACAGTAATGCTATTTACCATTGACAAGGTGATCTTTCCTTTCAAGTCACTTTCCTCTTTCAAAAACATGGTGATTGTTGGCATGTGTGCAAATGACTAGCAAATTCTAAAGAAAATTATTAAGTTCCATTCTTCTAGCAGTCTGCCCAGCCTGCTGACAGCCAGTAAGTGCTGCTATTAGACAGACAAAAAGGAAATGGTCACAGCCCCACTCAGATAACGCTACACTGAGATTCCATCACTTTTGCTGTTGCCATGTTTTTCTAACTCCCTGGACATTTTATGTGCATCTAATTTACTGTTTGGTAGGTTCTCTGATCAGAAATCAAACATTCTTGTCACCTGATAAATGCAAAGAGGAAGAAAGGGCCCAGTGCTCCTTGAAGTCCTTTCCTTGTTTTGTCTTCTCTAAACTATATTTATTTTGTTTCTTCACTTTGCAAACAGCTAATGTCTTCAAGCCAGGACTACACCCAGCCCTTTTATGCCCTGCAGCCATTGCTGTGTCTTTAAGAGCAAACTGATTCTCTGGAATGCTGTGCGTGCACATACCTATCTGAGCTCTACAGCCCACACCTGCCTAACAGGTAAACCAGATCCTCAGTGCTGGGCCTCAGCAGCCACATTCCAGCTTGGCAAGCTATTACTCTCTAATTGTTACCTGTCAAACAGGTAAACTAAGCTCTTGGGCCAAGTCCAAACAAGCAGATATTCCCACGAAATCCTAAACCTGCAAACCTTTGACCTTTTTCTCAGTCCCGCAGATGATTTTAACCCCGACTGATTTAAAACACAATTATATTTTTGGCTGACAGCAGAGAGTAGCATTTGCAGCCATTTTTACAGCGACAAAGCTTTCCCATGCATGTTAATACCTGCACTAGTGCCCAGGATTACCACAATAGGGCAGAGGACAATCAGCCCAATAAACACAATGCCAACCAATGGCTCCGAATTAAACCACATCTCTCTGTCTGTGTGGTGGCTTGTCAATGATCTCAGCAATAACAGCTTGATCCCCAAACTGGTTGGATGACTTTGTGGTGGTAATACAGAAAAGTTTCCTGAACAAATTAACGTACAAAGCAGCCCAGAGCCATTTTGAAGAGACAGGTCTGGCACTTCCTGGTTGTTTGGTCCAGTTCAGACTTGCTCCGCACAGTAACCGGATCAACTTGCTTACAAGGAGAGGATCTCCCGACACAGACTTATGCAACACCCAGTCACTGTCATCCACCTCATCCATCTCAGTTACCATCATCGCTCCCCTCTGCATTTTATGAAAAGGCAAGGAAGTGCCAGCTAGGGAAAATGGCTCAGGTCCAATTACATCATCAAACAAGGCTGAGTTTTTCTGGCTAATTTCACTAGAAAGCCATTTTCATTGGTTCTTCTGTAAAGGTACATGCTAAGGAAGTCTGCTCCCTCCACATGACATCCTTTTAGATATCTGAAAACCACTATCATGTCCCCCCTCAGTCTTCTCTTTTCTAAACTAAACAAACCCAATTCTTTCAGCCTTCCTTCATAGGTCATGTTCTCCAGGCAGCTGGGTTGCAGGAGGGGGTTCTAGGTGCAGGCTCGGGGGGGGGGGATGCTTGGATGCCTGGGGGCTCTGGGCTAGGACAGGGGTTTGACATATAGGAAGGCGGTTCATGAGTTGGGTAGGGGTTCAGTATGAGGACTCCAGTTGGGCACTGCTTACCTCAGGTGGCTCCTAGGTGATGGTGCAGTGGGGCTAAGGCTGGCTCACCCCTGCCCTAGCCCTGCACCACTCCCAAAAGCAGCTAACAAACTTGCTCTATTCCTAGTCCTGTTGTGCCCCATGTCTGCACTGTGGAAATAAGATACAGGGTGTGAGAAGGGGGCACGGTAATATTAGCACCATCCTCTCCCTCCCTTGTCCTGCACAGCAAGCAGGAGATTCCTGAGGGAACAACTCCAAGGCAAAGGGCCAGAGATGCACAGCAGTGGGAGGAGGAGCAGCTGAAGTGCTGTACTTGATAGCCACATGGCCAAACCTGTCAGGATCACCTGTCAAAGGCTTCAAGATCTACCAGTAGATCTAGATCTACTGGTTGGTGACCACTGCATTGAGGGCACCTTGCATTTCCCTCACTAGCTCCTAGTGCCACCCTCCCATTCCCTAATTCAGGGACTCTCTAGGTTCTCTACCCTGGCCCTTATTCATGTTTCTTTTCTGTTTTGGAGGGAGAAATATTCCAAGATGTCAGCTTTCTAAACTACTTTGGGAGACTCAGCAGAGCCAAGAGGGTTATTTTGGCCAGGGGCGAGGAGGAGAGAATGTGCTATTGCTGTGCTGAAAAATGCTAATGGCTGCCATCAGCAGTTTTTTGATCTATAGACAATTACCCAGATACTGGAGGCTAATGTCTGTGCTAAGCAGATGCCAGGGGCTCTCTGTGCCAATGTCCCTCTTGTGATTTTTTTTCCAGTTGTCACCATCATCTATAGGTTCAGGATATTGATGCCTCCATAGAACATTCTCTGAAATCTTGGAGTTGATCAGATGAAATGTTCATAAGTTATTGTACTGCAGACAGACAAACACCATTGAGTATAAGCCACACACACAGCAGCATCTTATAGGATCAAGTTGCTATTCCTTGCACGGTGATTTAAGATGAGTTTTATGTGGGCAGTTGGGAGGACACACCTATATTTATGTTCCCAGCTCAATGGTTCCTCAGGATTATCAAAAAATCTTCACTCAACAAATTTATCTAATGGTAGATGTTTTCATTACACAAATGAACTGAAACCTGTTTCTTAAAAATGTACAGGTACGATAAGAATTAAATTACTGATGAAATTTCTCAAATAAGAGAAGTAATCTTAAAACCAAATAAATCTTTAGTTCTTAATTGCTACTGGGGAAGAAGAATAAATACACTAATATGACTACATCCTTGCATCGAAAGGCATTACTCATGTTTATGAAAGTGATGTGCTTTAACTTGAACTTCAGAAAATGACATAACTAGCTGGTAAGTTAGACAATTGAAACTCAAATTTTTATCTGACAGGATGTTGCTTAATAGTTTCTTGTTGTAATAATGGTGAGATCACTGGAAGCACAGAGGCAGAAATGGACTGAAAAGGGAGGTCAGCATTTCCAATAAAACACTGAAAGGTTTTGAACCCAAATTCAGGTTCTCTTTAACAAGGCATAACAATTGACTCCAGCAGACTTGTATCAAGACTGTATCTTCTTTCTATTTATTTATGTATATACCTTTAAATCATCATTTAATATTAAAAAGATGCTTGTGGCGCCTTTGATAGGTTCATCAATGGCTATTAGCTAGAATGGGTAGGAATGGTATCCCTAGCCTCTGTTTGTCAGGGGCTGGAAATGGATGACAGGAGAGGGATCACTTGATGATTACCTGTTCTTTTCACTCCACCTAGGGCATCTGGCATTGGCCATTGTCAGAAAAACGGATACTGGGCTAGATGGACCTTTGGTCTGACCCAGTATGGCCTTTCTTATGGCAGCTGATACCATCTCTTTATGTGAACATTGCTGCCTCTGTTTCCATCATTACGATTACACCATAGTTCTTTACCTGAACGCAGAAGGGGAAGGGTTTTCATTTAACAGTTCTGAATTGACCTGGAAGATTCTAGGCCAGCCCATGTTGTCAGCTTTGTTTAAGTTATCTGCTGATGTCTTTTCCAGGAAGGAGTTTTGACTTTTTGTACCTACCTTCGCTTTTTGTTGATAAGCTTGGATTTGTTTGGTGAGCCTTTTGGAAAGCCGACCATTTTCCTTAGGCATCTGGGGAGGATTTGGGTCGATGGGCAAGAGCTATGGAGGAAATGGGTTGACCTAATGGTTGCATTATTTTGATCACTGGGAAGGCTGAATCTTTCTGCAGTACTCACAGGCCTCTCTTGCTGATTGTGAATTTTGCACTGAATATTGTGTTTACTTGTGTGACATGCCTAGAGTGGTAGGTTTGTCTACACCTGTGACATGCCTAGAGTGGTAGGTTTGCCTACACAGTACAGGCAGTCCCCGAGTTACGCGGATCCGACTTATGTCGGATCCGTACTTACGAATGGGGCTTTTCTT